GAACTAAATCCAATCCCTCTCCATAAACCTACCACAGCTGAGGAAACCGTTTGGATTCTTCTTGTTTCCAATCCTGGAGGAAAAAGGCTTTAGTCTGAATCATACAGAGAGCAGCTAAATCTGAGGCTGTACAAATGCCACAACTTGCTGTTATAAAATCAGTATCTGATACCATTCAGGTTTTTAAATCCCCAAAATATCTGACTCCCATTCCTTAGAATTTTAATATCAGGAAGGAGATCTGAATTCAATCACTACCACTCAGAGTAAGTAAGATGTGAGTTCCCAAAGTGAATACTGAGTAAGTAAAGGTCCAGTGCAAAAGCAGATCTAAGACAAAGTTCACATACCAATAGCTGAGGCAGAAAAAAAATTCAAATCCAGAGCTAACAAGTGAAAGAACATTTAAGAAGGGTGGTGACATGTAGGAACATACTTTTTCGGCTATGGGCAGAAGACAGGGGAAAAAAAAAAAAAGGAGATACAAAAAGGCTGTGAGCGAGCATTTGAGAGTCTTTTCAGAATGGAATCTAAGTATCCAAACCTGCAAAAAAAAAAAAAAAAAAAAAATCACTGAGATTTAAGTTTTCTCCTCATATTTCATTTCCTGAGCCACCAGGATCAGTTTGTACAGGTCTAGTGCCTTGCATCACTTGAGATCTGCTACTTCAGATACAGCAACAGGGACTCCAGCTCAGTATTTACTGTCTTGTGAGACATATCTACCAACACACACACCCCTCAGTCACTCTAAACTGCAGAGAGAGCTACTGGTAGGCACATCTCAAACACACTCCATCCCTTGGGCACAGTTTCTCCCTCTTTTTGCAGAGGAGATAAATCAAGGTCTTCCACAGATGAGTTTAAGAGCCATTTTCTTCATTAGCTTTTTATACCCAGCACAAGCTTATGAAGCTGTAGCTGTTTCCAACATCTTGAAGCACAATCCCCTCTTTTCAAGGCAAGAGAATACAACGAGCAAAACTAACAGGAGCCTAGAGTTTGCAAATTAAAGGTATCAAAAACACCAGCATGCCAAGAAGTAGTTATTTTTTTTAGAATGCTGTAACTTTCAGCTGTTCACTCCTGTTATTTGGACTTCAGCGATGACTCACAGCAGCAGAGGACAGGCTCCCACTGTGCAGAAGCAGTTTTGACATGGAAAGCTGATGTTTTAAAAGCAGGCTTCCATATCCCAGTCAGACTCATCTGCATAGACTCATCTTCCTCAAGCTTGAGGTCAAAAGCTAAACTGCCTTAAATACAAATCCCTCACACACTATTTATTTGCTGTGACATTCTGTACTTACTACCTGCTGAAGACACCATGGGCTCTACTCCAAAACATGCTCAACCTGCAATGCTTAATGACTTCATTGACTCTTAGGCACGTACAGGAAAGCAAGGACATATGTATCTCTATATTGCAAGGCCTATTACAGTACTGAGGAATAATTTATTCTCTAAACACACAGAGAAAAGATCAGGACACTGGGAAATCCAGGCAGGGAGAGCTTAGCTTCCCTCATCGCTCCTGGCTTGAAGCCCCTGGAAAGGAACAAAGTGTCCTTAGGAAGTTTACAAGAGCAATTAATACCGGTTTGTAAGACTCCAGAAGCAGTAGAGCTACATTTGAGATACAGGGTGGCAGCTGTTACTCACCAGTAACCCTGACAGGTTACCCTGTGCCTGCAGAGCTGCAGCCTTAACTAAGATTTTTCATCAATTTTCCTTTTTTGGGGTTTTTTCCCCCACTTAAAGCACGCCCTAAGGGGTAACTGTACAGAAAAGCTAAAAAGGCCTCGTGAAAAGGTAAAAAAGGGGCAGTTTCCCGAATTTTGGCTGATTTATAGCGGGGAAGGTCCCAGCGGGACC